CTTCCCCGTGCCCCTCCCTGTGCTCCCGCCTCCCTGTGCTCCCCACCTCCCTGTGCCCCTCCTTGTGCTCCCCGTCTCCATGCCTTTGCCCATGCTCTACGCTCTTCTGGGTTGCCCCTTCCTGCCAGTCTGCCAGCCAAGACTTTGAGGGTCAATGCATCTTCCTTTCCTCTGCCCCACTCCGACTCTGGCAGCTGAGCACAGCCCTCGGGGCCCTTCTGTCCCCTGGCAGGACCTGCAAAGCCCTGCCTGGCTCTCCTGCCTGCTCCAGTTAAGTCACCTGCAGTTGACAGGTGGCCTGGGTGTCCTGCATGGGTTGCATAATGCCCTTTTAGACTGCAAATTTGCTGGCCTTATTTACGCACCGGGGGCTTTCGGGAGAATCAGCACTGTCTGCCTTCCTGCGAAAGCTCAGAAGAGCTGGCTACACAGGGCCTGCATTCTTGCCTGGTACTGTTTGCTGGCCAGAGCCAAGGGCTCCCCTTGACTTGGGGATGCCACCACCTCACTGTCTCCATCACCTGTTCCCCTGCCCCACCTAAGCCTGCTACCCAGCCTCCGGACCAAAGCCTCTTTGGCTTCTCAGGTTATGGGGCATGAAGGGGACCCTGAGGCGGGGAAGGTAGATCCCACACTGGCTCCAGCTGTCAAGGCAGAAGTAGCTGCATGGACATCACTCCCTGGGGCCATTTCCTTCTAGCTGGAGATGTGTCTCTCCAAGGTCTGGAAAATCTTAAATGACAGAGAAATAAGAATTGAAAAAAGAATTTCATTTCTCCCCTAAATTTCAAATTTGGGGGAATGGGTTAAACCTGTGCAATTTTTCATTAATTGTGATCCATAGCATGGAGGCTCAGGGGTGAGGGGCCCAGACGTGGGGGGGGTCTCAAAAAGTCGGGGAGGTGTGGTCCTGCTGCGGAGGGCCTGGGGCAGGCTGCTGCTGCTCTCAGGGGCTCCTTCCCCCTGGAGATGGTGGGTGCCAGAGAAACATTCAGTGCCCAGCATGGAGCCTGGGGCATGGTGTGGGCTTGATGAATGCTGGGTGACATCGGGCACACTGTTTATCTGAAAATAACTCCAAAAAGCAAGGAGCCAGTTAAATACTTCTCATTCTTGCTATAAGAGGAGGCTCTCACAGCTAAACTTTAACAAATTCGTCATCGTCTTTTCTGGGAAGAACGAGGGAAGATGAAGTCATCAGTTTATGATAAAACAAAGAAACATACTGTTTTCTCTGGCTTCCCTCAGAAACTTCTAGCAGGCAGAGAAAAGGCCCTTGTCAGAAAAGCTGAGGAGATGCATGTGTGTGCATGTGTGTGTGTGCGCAAATGTGAGTGTGTGTGTGGGGGTGCATCTGAACCCCCAGGCCAGTGGCTCCACATGGAATTCTGGGTCCAATCTCCTCCCCGAGCCGTGGTCCACAGCCAGCACCCGGACAGCATGCGCACAGATCATGAACACGCCATTATGATGGTTCCCTCTTGACTTTGCTGCACAACAGTTCTGTGATCTGCATTTCCCAGAAAGGGAAACTGAGGCTCAGAGACAGGAACCAACCTGTGCTATGTCACTCAGCTAGAACATGAGGTCATGAGACTGCCTCACCCACTCTTGCAGACTTGAACTGATACTGGGTTTTACCATCTTCTGAGAGCGGGCTTAGGGTTGCAAGGCACAGGGACTCTGCTTCAGACTTGAGAAGGTCTCCACACAGAGGGACCCTGGCAGCTCAGGTGGGGAAAGGCCCAGAGGCCACCACCTGCTGCCCAGGGCTCCACACCAGAGACCCAGCTGCTATCCTGAAAGACATTCCAGACCAGGAGAAGATGGTGTGAGAACCCAGGTCCTGTGTAAGAGATCACTTGGCTATGGCCAACTTTCCAGAAGCCAGCCTGGCCTAGCCTCTAGGGTCAGAGCCTCCCAGTGCTGGGGAAAGGCTGGGCAGAGGCAGGCACTGGACACCCGCACCCACCCTCAACTTGCTCAGAGGCCCTCAGACAGCAGAGAAGCTTCTGGAAAATGCAGATGCCCGGGCCTTGCCCCAGCCCCTGTGCAGCCCTGTTGGTCCCCAGGTTCCTCCTGGCCATATCCTTCAAGCAGAGAAGGAGCCTCAGATTTGGGGCTTCTTGGGCACACCTGCTGTATGCAGCCCCCGAGTCCCACTAAGAGCCCGCCCTTGGGCTCAGGACTTCAGGCCGTGAATGTTGCATTTCAGTGCATGTTGAAGGAGCCACCCCAGGGTCACATGTGGGACGTTTCCCAGGCCTGAGAAGTCCCTGTGTTGTTCACATGCTCATGTACCCCACATCAATCCACAGTTAAAGATGACCACTTCTCCCTGCCAAGAGTATCTATGAACTTCAGTGTGCCAGTGATATGCCTTTAAAAATGTATTAAAAGAAACACTTAATAATGGCTGGAAACAGTGACATTACTGTGTTCAATCATCAGCCCAACCCAAAGAGGCCACATCGCTGGCCACAAGGAGACAAGGACCCATGGCTGTTGAGTAGGATGGACTTCAGGACCTCCTGGTTTGGGGTCTCTTAGACGAATGTTCCTTGGCCTGGGCCCTGGTGGCCATGCCTCCCAGAGAACAGGTGGGCCCTGGAGGCAGAGGTCCCAGCCCCAGGCCTCCCTGCTCCTGCAGGCTTCTGGCAGTCAGAGCACCCCCAGGAGGGCACTTGACCCAGCCATGCTGAGTACCTGTCTGCATGAGGCAGGCTCAGCATCTCCCATCACACCCTCCTACCCCTCCCAGGACCAGGTATGGGGGAAAGGCCGCCTGTGTGGGCCCAGTCGTACCACTCAGGTAACACAGGGCCTTGGTTTTCCAGGGCTAATACTTTTTTCCAGAAAAGATTCAGCTGCAGCAGAGGATATGAAAGCATGACTGCTCTGTGGTGCCAGCTCTCAGGGTTGGGCAGGGGTCAGTCCTGCCCACGTCTCCTCTTGGCTTCTGCACAGCCCAAGACAGGGCCCCTGGGCCTGGCCTCCAACTCATGCCCCACCTTGGCCAACCTCCCAGAGGAGGGGGGTGCAGACAAGCGGGGCTTCCAAGGGATGGCAACTTTTGCCAGCACAGAGGAGGACCAGGGTGAGGTGAGACTCTCAGAGCCTGATGGAAGGGCTGGATGAGGGACACTGGGATGGGGGGCCGGTTGGGCTACTTCCAGAAACGTCCAGCCCCATAAGTGATGCATTCAAACCATCTGTACATCAGCTCCTCAGCCCAGCAGCCAGGGGCTGCTTTCCCTTTCTGGCCCTACGCAATGAAGGGGCTGCCCTGCCTGGCTCACCCAGCAGCTTCCCCAAAGATGTAGGCTGTTCCTCAGCTCCATTTTTAACCTTCCTTAGTCCCAGCAGCCCCAGCAAAAGCCCTCAGG